CTAGTTGAGCCTTCACTGGCTTACCAGGCCTGGCTATGTCATTCCCTTCCTCAAGAAGCTTCAGTGCCTGCTTATTGCCTTTAGGATCCAATGCAAACTCCTTTTTGAGACTCTTAGAGCCCTTTTTAATCTGGTTTTGACTTACTTTTCTACACTGATATTCTCTTCCTCTCATGTGTTCACATTCCAGCCACACTGGTCCATGCTGTCCCTCTCACTAGAAGACATTCTATATCCTGACTGTAGGCTGTTGCATAGGCTGTCATCCCCAAGCAGAGAATGCGTTCACTCCTCACTTTCACCCCTGAAATCCCGAGCTCAGTTTAAGTGAGATCTATCTCATGGCATTCTTACCATTTTTAGTGCTACTCCTTATCCTCCCTTCTTTCTTCCAATTACTTGGCATTTTTAAATATTTTGTATTTACTTCAATTAATTAATAAAACAATAGACATTAAGTGTCTACTATGTGCCAGACACTGGTGATACATATGTTAAAAAAGGAAACAATCCCTGATGTCAAGAAGTTTATCTTCTATCAGTGGAAGCAATACAATAGATACACACACACACACATATAATATATGTATGTATGTACAGTAAATAAAAACTAGTTAGGGAACAAACTAGCAGTTGTATATGGGGGTAGGGAATCAGGAAAGGCTTGCTGTAGAAGGAAGAAAGGGAAATAAGCATTTATTAAGGACCTATGGTATGCCAGTCATTCAGCTAAGTACTTTAAAAATGTTATTTAATTTCCAACAAGGTAGGTGTTATTATTATCCTCATTTTATAGTTGAGGAAACAGAGGCAGACAGATGTTAAGTGATTTGCCCAGGGTAAGATAGCTAGGGTTTGAAGTGAGATGTGAATTCAGGTCTTCCTGACTCCAAGGAGGGGTGCTCTATCCACTATGTCACTCAGTTATGTCTTTAAAAAGTTGAGGTATTATGTCAGGTGAAAGAGAGGAGAGAATGCATTTGTGGACTTCAATTATCTGTTGTTTCCCTCCAGTAGAATGTAAGGTTTTTGAAGACGCCAATTCTTTTGGTTTTGTCTTTTATCCCCAACACCTAGCATAATTCTGGCATGTAGCAGGCGCTTAATAAATGTTCTTTCATTCAAGTTCCCTACACCAATGAAATCATAGGCCAGAAAAATCAGAACAAAACCCAATACTTTCTCAAACTTATACAAGTAAAGTATGAACATTAGCTTAGCCAATATAAAATTATTAAAGACAGAGCTGGGATTGTCTAGTTACCAATATATTATAGTGCTGATCATTTCTTCTGGAGTACAAGGTTATAAAAGAACATCACATTAAGTGGGTAATATGTTCTTTATTCATGCTTCAGTTACTATATCACTCACCAAAAATATGGAGATTAATGTGAAAAGATCTAGGATTTATAAGTCATGAACTTCAGAGATCTATGTGTATTTATTTCATAGCATTAGGCAACATTTAACCTTGGAAGTAAAACTTAACAACTCCACTAGGGGTTATTAAACACTTAACGGTATACAGGGGGTGCAAACAAATAGTGCTTAGTGAATTAAATTTAAGATACTGTATATGTTTTAGAAATATAATACTCACTTATATTAATAACCATAATTATCTGGAACCCTCAAATAAAAAATAGTGGCACCTTATCACCTTTCTATAGCAGTTTATAGAGGCATCTAGTTGACCTTAGTGGATAGAGCTCTGGGGCTGAAGTCAGGAAGACCTGAGTTCAATTCTGACCTCAGATACTTACTGGCTTCATGACCCTGGGCAAGTCACTTAACTTCTGTTTGTCTTAATACAATGGAGAAGGAAATGGCAAACCGCTGCAGTATCTTTGCCAAAAAATCCCCTTGGACAGTATGCTCCATGGGGTTGTTAAGAGTTGGACATGACTGAACAACAACAAATAGCAACTTATGGTTTACAAATTGTTTGCCTCCTAACTCTTACGAGGCAAGTAATATAAGCCTTATTATTCCTATTTGTGGTTGAAAAAAACTGAGGTGCAGAGAAATTGAATAACTTGGGGCAAGTAGATGCTGAAGTGAATACAGCAGTGGGCCTGGAGTTAGGAAGACCTGAGTTTTAATCTAGACCCAGACACCATCTAGACTAGCTGTGTGATCCTGGACAAGTCATTTAACCTCTATCTGGTTCAGTTTCTTCGACTGTAAAATGGGGATAAATAATAGCATTTGCCTCGCTGAGTTATTGTATGAATCAAATGACATATTTGCTAAGCTCTAGGCACATAGTAGATGCTACACAAATGCTTATTCCCTTTCCCTTCCTCAAGATCACCCAGTGGAAAAGTGTCAGAGTTGGGACTCTAGTCCAAGCCTCTTAATTGAAGTAACAATGTAATACCAATTACACCATGCTGGCACCCCCACCTAATAATGAAATTCTTTGAACTAAATGCATTTGAATGGGTTTCAAGGGAGACTCATCTTATATTGAATTGTATTCTATAATTTATTTCTGTGATATCAACATTCTGTATTAATCAAATTAATCAACAAGTATTTATTAACCACCTGCTACGTTTCCAGTACTCTGCTATTCACTGGGAATGCAAAGATGAATGAAACAGCATCTGTCCTCAAAGAGCTTACATTATATCAGGGAAACGTGTCAATGTGAAAAAGTATTTATGCCAAATACAAGGTAATTTATGTGCTTTTTTAGAAGGTGGGGCTTGAACTGAACTTCGTCTTTTTTTTAGAGAGGCAACTGGGGTTAAGAAACTTGCCCAGAATCACACTGAAAGCGTTGTGTGTCTGAGGTCACATTTGAACTCAGGTCCTCCTGACTCCAGGGCCAGTGCTCTATTGTCTGCGCCACCTAGCTGCCCCCTTGAACTCAACTTTGAAGGAAGCTAGGCATTCTAAGAGGTGGAGTGGAAGAGGGAGTTAGCTTGTAGGCATGGGAACAAAGATGATAGATAGAGTGTTGTGTGAGAGGAACAACAAGAAGGCCATTTTGACTGGACCACAGAGTACATGAAGGAGAGCAATGAGGTTAGAGAGACCAGTTGTGATGGATTTTAAATGCCAAACTGAGCACTTTGATCTTAGAAGTGATAGGAAGTTTTGTGACAAGGGTTTTGTTTTTGTTTTTGCTTTGTTTTGTTTTTCTTTTCTAATTGGGGGGTGGTGGGAGGGAGAGAAAATTATTTTTAATTAAACAATAAAATTCAATTATAAAAGAAATGCTAGGAAGTACATTTCAGTTCTACAGAGTAGTGACATAGTCAGATCAATACTTTAGGACTATCACTTTGGCAGCTGTGTGGAGAATGCCTTAGAAAGGGTAGAGATCTCATGTGGTCATAGAATCATTTAGGTTCTAATCAGGGAAACAATATGCTAATATAAAACTATACATGAAATATACACAAAACAAGGAAATTTTTGGGCTTTCTTTTGTGGCAGCTAAGGAAAGCCTTCATTAGGAGGTGGTATGTGAACCAGATTCAGAGCTGGAAGGGATCTTAGAGACCATCTAAAATGAGATTTTACAAATAAGGAAACAAAGGTCCAGAATGAGTTTGGTGGCACATACCTATAATTAATTCCTGCTATTGTGGAAGCAGAAGCTGGTAGATCTCTTGTTTTTGGGAATTTTGAGCTACTGAAAAAAAAAAGAGGAGGGGAGGGAAAGAAGGGGACGAAAGACAGGAGAAGAGAGAGAAAGAAATCATATGATGTTAAGAGATTATTTTAATAGTGCAAATGAGAGGTAGTGAGGATCTGAACTAGAATAGTGGCTGAATGAATAGAGTGAAATGGACAGATGCAAAAGATGCCATGAATGTAGAATCAATGGGTTTTGACTATGGATTGGACATACTGGTTGAAGGAGAACAAGAAGTTGAGGATACCTTGAAGATAGGAATCTTCTTCGGCAACTACACACTTGATTTGAGGTAATAGAAAATTTATATGAATGAGAATGATTCATTCATTTAACATTAAAAAAAATATTTAAAATCCAAAGATTAAGACATTATCCTTGCAGGATGATAAAATGTGTTACACATGGTGGTGTGCTGGTAAATGTTTACCAATTAGCTCTCTGAAAAAAATAAAAAGGTATAAAGAACATAAGTTTAACCTGAATTTTCAGCATTTTTTCCCATTACTTTCTTAAGTCTAGACAATCACCAAAACAATAAACCAAGGCCTGATATGTAGTACTTGACATTTTCATAGTTATAAATGTTTACACAAAACTGGTTAGAGCTGGCTCTGGATCACCACTGGTTCCACCACACACACACACACACACACACACACACACACACACACCACACACATACACACACACACACACACACACACACACAACACACCCCAAAACAAACAAACCAAAAAACCCTCCAAACATAAATTAGAATATAAGTACATTCAAACTGGAGAGAGGAAGGTGGGGCATAGAACAACAAACTTTTGTCTAGGATCATAGTCATAGCACCAGCCCTAATGTCATTGAAAATAACTTTGCTGCTAACTGTGCACTTTTCCACCACTTCATGAAGAGGTGACCAGGCCATACTCACTTCACTCCCAACTCCATTGCTCATTCTCTTGACTTCTTAATCTCTTCTTCAGCAGTCTCGCCCCTGCACCTGCACCTGCACCCTTCACCCTTGCCCCCTTTCTAGCTCTCCTTTATTTATGTATTGTCTCTTCCCGTTAGAATGTTAGTTCCTTGAAGACAGGAACTACCCTTTTTGCTTCAATCTGCGTCCTCAGAATTCAGCAAAGCTCCTGGCAAATACTAAGCACTTAATAAATACTCTCTCTCTCTCTCTCTCTCTCTCTCTCTCTCTCTCTCTGTGATATCTGTTCTATCTCATTTTAAATGATTGTCTCCATGCTAACTCAAGTTCCAGTTAGCTATGTACCATGCTCTATGGAGAATAAAAGATAAGATATCTTGCTAATGAGGTGAAAACTCTTATTTCTTACCTATCTTATAGGTCCTTTCTGGAGATTCTGAAACTAAACCTTTGATCTTCACATTTGTCCCGACCATAAGAAGACTACCGACTCATACTCGGGTTGCTGATGCCTCTAAATATCTTGTTAAAATTCATGAAGAACCAAGAAATAAGAGCCAAGAAACAGTAAATAGGGTAGGCTATTTTTATATTTTTCTTTTACTCACAAAATTTGCATTAAAATGAATTTGGTTGTAAAAAGTGTTTTAAATAACCATCTCTCCTCCTTTTATTTTTTTTTCCTTAAAGGTTATGAGTTCTAGGGCCATCAGTGATGCTTACATTATTTGTAGGAGCCCATGGAACTCAAGATTTTCTATTATAATCAAGGGATTCTCATTTGTGATATCCAATCATTTGTTATGACTTCTTGCCTCATTTCTTATCTCCTCCTTATTCTCAGTCCTTAAATTCTTTTATCCCATATATTTTTTTTTGTGAAAAAATTAAAATGAATTAAATTATTTTGTTTTAAAAATTCATTTTGAGATTTTGACCATAGGTGTCATAGATTAAAAGCTAGAAAAGGCTCTGGAGGTCATTTAGTCTAATGCCCTCATTTTACAGTTGACGAAATTAATGCCCAAAGAGGTTATTTGACTTGACCAAGGTCAATATTAACTCATATTATCTGCCTCCAAATGAAACACTGGGCAGCTAAGTGGTGCAGTGTATTGGGCCTAGAGTCAGACCTAAGTTCAAATCTGGCCTCAGATACTTAATAGTTCTGTGACCCTGGTGAAATCACTTAACTATTGCCTGCATCAGTTTCCCAACTGTTAAATGAGGGGGAAAATAGAGCAGTTATAAAGATCTAATGAATTAATATTTGTAAAGTAGTTGGCACAATGTCTGGCACAGAGTAGGTTCTATATAGATGCTAGCTGTTATTTTCTACTGAACCACACATACTTTATAAGGCCTCCAGTCTTATAAAGATAGCCCTTTAAATTATTAAAAAGAGGGAGAAAATCTGATTTCTATCATTGATATATTGTCTCCTTTATATTCTTACCGCATAGTAGCACTTAGTAAATGGTCATTCACTCATTGATTTCTAGACCATAGTGACATATTTGATCTATGGTCATTGAATCAGCTATGATTATAGATTATCTTGAACAGCTGGATGGCACAGTGGATAAGGTGCCTGCTCTGGAGTCAGTAAGACCTGATTTCAAATCCAGTGTCAGATACTTACTAGCTGTGTGACCCTGGGCAAGTCACTTAACCCTGTTTATCTCAGTTTTCTCGTCTGTAAAAATGATCTGTAGAAGGAAAGTAAACCACAGATGGGATCATGGGGATCATGGGAGCAAGGGTAAGGGAGAGAAGTGAGGAACAGGTAGAGAGGGAAGAGAGGAAAGGAGAGGGAGAGGAGAGGGATCATGAAGAATCAGACATGACTAATCAACTAAATAACAACAACAAAGTAGATTATCTCAAAGAGTGATCAGAGCTAAATGATTTCTGGGAACCCCTGAATAATATCCAAGGCAACCTAGCTGCTGAGATGAGATCCTCACACTTTTAATGTTATTTGACAAAGATTGTATATACCCTTAGCATTTTTATATTGCTACAAATAATATTTTTCTATGTGTCAGGATATATCTGTGTTATATAGTAAAACCTTCTTGCAAGGCTTTAAAACTCGGTAGTTTCCTGTGGCATTTGCGGTAAATTTCATAAACTGAAAACATAATATATACAAATGATTTCTTTAATTGGTTAATGTAGTGTGGTTTACTGAATAGACTTTGAGTCAGGAAACTTGGGTTCATATCCTGCCTCCAACACTTTGCTGTGTGTGCTATTTAATCAATGAATCTCTCAGTTTCCTTTCTTAAAATAGGGATGATACTTGAAATAGTTACCTTATTATTGTGAAGAAAGCACTTTGCAAATTAAAAAAAAATTTTTTTAAATTTATTTTTTAGTTTTAAATTTAAATAGTAAAACAAATACATAAGAAAAGCAAAAGAAACATATTATAAATTTAAATATTGAAATAAATACGAACTAAGAAAAAAAAAGCATTGTAGTGTGTGCAGCAGAGCCTAAGAGAGAATTCAAAATATACAGCAAAAAAGTTCCATTTCTAGAAAGCTTATATAATAAACACTACACATTTTGATCAGAGCTGTCCATCTCTTCTTTGCTTCCTTGTAAGTTTTCTTTTGTTTTCTGCTGTGCACGTTTTACTTTGTTCTTTTTTCCCCATTTCCCCCCACCCCTGAAGAAGGCTACAATTAAGCTACAATATACACATATATCTATATACATACATATATAGATACAGACAAACATACATGTACACACAAAGCGATACATACATACTGTGGATTCCAAACCCTATGAACCCTATAAACTCCAGTTTGAAAGAATCTGCTCTAAGAAAGAGACAAACAAAATTGGGGTACATGTGTCCACAGTTTAATTTCTCAAGGTGGCTTGACATGAATTGCATGAGAGTTCAGTCCAAAACTGGGCCCCTTAAGGGGGCCAGTTCAGAACTGGCTTGGTTTGGGATTTTGGAATATAGTGTTATATGCCCTTTGAAGGGTAAATGTTCCCTAGAGGGTGCCAATCAACCAAGATTGATCGACATAGTAGGAGGATGAGTGAGTTCCTTAGGTCCCTTAGTCCACAGGGGCCAATAGCATTTGCCATCACAGGAACTACCACCCCCCGTCTTGGATGTACATCTCCACCTAAACCTGAGTAGGATAAAATCATTTCAGGCTTCGGTTGAAGTTTGACCAAGATAAGAAGATTCAATGTAATCTCATTATCAGAGATGTCCTTTGGAATAACTTTGGTCAGAAGGCTGACGGGGAAGGAGCTCTGAGTCTCCAAGATACAGACTACCAAGAGAAATCATTTTTATACATACAGATGTATATATATATACATCTACATGCATACATTTTCATACACATAGATATACTTAGATATCTATAATTATACGTATGCATAGACATATACATTCATATGCGTCTATGTAAAACCATTCTATACTTATTTGTCCTCTGTTTCTCTGAGGGCGGATAACCTCTTCCTTCATAAGTCTGAGTCTTTCCATATTTTTCCAAGTCTACCACCTCATTATTTCCTACACCATAGTAATATTTCAACCTTATACTGTCTAGTTATTTTAGATGGTCCAGAATGACATTGATGAATATGGCTGATACCTAGTGTGGTTTCCCTATTTCTCTCTTTTGATTAAATCTATTTTAGCCTTCATTTTTCCCAAGATCATGATTAATACCACTGTACTTTTTTCCCTAACAAATTCTACTCCTGATATTTTTGTATTGTGTATCTCTTATTTCCTATCCCTCCTGACTCCTCTGCTTTACTTCTACCCACTACCTTGCCTTCCTATTACTTAACCTATTCCCTCTCCAAGGATTCCTCCCTTGTTCTCCCATTCTCATTAATCTAAACCTCTGTCTCTGTAGCCTCCATCCCTTACCCTCCCATTTTGCAAATCCTTAAGGGGCTGTACAGAAGAGATTTATCATTTTGATTTTCTGTTTTATAAATATTCCAGAATTAACAGGGAAAGCGGCAAATAAGATGTCCCCAAAAACCCACTATTATGAATGTCTTTTTTATTTTGTTTCTTTCTATAATAAGTAGCCTCTTTATTACATTTTATCTCCAGGTAACCAGTTGAGTTCAGGCCATAGACTGGTTCTAAGTGGTCCACTCATATTAGGGGCTGTTTGGTTTTATACTAATGCAGACAAAGGGATGTTTTAATTTAGGAAAAGCATAAGCTAGCCACTTTTAAATATGTTAATCATAAATAGGTCAACACAGGCCTCAGGTCAATTCCTTTGGATTTACAGGCTACATCCTTATGTACTCATTAATTACTTTAAATGTCTCAATTTAAATGCCTGTTTCCCTAATCCACCCCGCAACCCTTTACACTTTATGGACAAAAGTCTATCTGCCTGCCTTTAATCAACTATTAAATTTCATCTCATATCTTCAAGAGCAGAAAAGTTTAAAATTTACTCAATCAATTGATTGTTTTAATCATTTTATTTACTTGAAGAACAAGTCAAGAATAATTCTATCTTCCTGCCCCTTTGCCCTTCCCCAACACTGAATTGGCCAAATCAGTTGGATTTGCTGGTTTGATTTATTGTCATATAGATCAGATGTGCCAAATATGCATCAGGCTAGTAACACTCCTCAATACCAGATTAGACTGCAATTGGGAAATATTTTTAAAAATAAATAGAAATACAACAGAACATCAATAATGTCAATAATCATAATATTGATGTTAATTGATAATGTTAATTTTCTAAGTCAATGAGTGGCCTAAAGGAATCCACATGTATTTTTTGATGATCCCAATTTCTATTTGAGTTTGACACCAATGACATAACCAAATCATACTTTGACATAAAATATAGCTTTAATTTCAGGCAAAAAGTGACTTTAGGAGTCAAAGAGCAGCTGATAAAGCTGCTACAATTTCTGCTTAATCAAAAAGAATAGAAAAGATTAATGACTTAAAATCATACCTCAAAGTATGATTGGTTATAAAAAAATTGAATTTTGCTCTAAAATGTCTACTTTTTACCATGATCTCAGAGTAGTTCATAATGTTTGTGGTTTCCAGCTAGATATTCATGAGTTGTGATCTAAATTATCAGAGATCTTGAAGTTTTGGGGGACCCAGTAATTTCTTTCCTAACTCCTGTTTTATTGGAAATTTCATTCAATCAATATTTATTATGTGGTTGGCATTGGAATACAAAAATAAAAGATGACACAGTCCCTGTCATTTCTGCTGTGAAATGGACTAGGTAACTTTCTATTGAACTTACCACAAACCCTTTATAACTGGCCCATATGTTTTTTGTAGTCTATAAAGCATTTTTCTCATCAACATGCGAGGCAGGTAAGTATAGACTGCAAGGGTGTCCTTGTCCTGAGGCCATGACTTCAGCATCTACTTCATTTAATTATTTTAGAGGCAGCTAGGTGGCCCGGTGGGTAGAGCTCTGGACTTGGAAGTCAGGAAGACCTGGGTTCAAATTCAGCCTCAGTCATTCACTAGCTGCGTGACCTTGGGCAAGTCACTTACCTGATGTCAGCCTCAGTTTCCTTATTGTAAAATGGGGATAATAATAGTACCTACCTTTCAGAGTTGTGAGGATAAAATTAGACAATATCTGTAAAGTGCTTAGTATAGTTCCTGGTACACAGTAGTTACTAACTAAATGCTAGTTATTATTATTATTATTATTATTATTATTATTATTACTATACCATGTCACTATTTAGCATTAAAAATATTTAGAGGCTCATGTGCTTATGAGTCAAATGGCTGGTTAGGAATAAAATAAATATCTTTCACTTTAGGCTATTCCGAGATTAGTCTAGAGATGGTTCTTCCCTTGGAATTTGCTTTTGACCTATTTGTAAGTGTAAATAACTATACTTCAAAACATTTATGGAACACTTGCTGCACTTTTTGGGCTCAGGAGCCCTTTACACTCTTAGAAACTTTTGAGGACCCTGAAGAGCTTTTATTTATGTGGGTCATATTTATGGATATTTACTGTATTAGAAATGAAAAGTGCTAAACTTTAAACATATTTATTAATAATTTAAAATTATAAAAATTCATTACAGATTACTATAAATTACCTATTTTATAAAAATAATTATATTTTCCAAAACAAAAAAATAGAAAAGAATGACATTGTTTAGCGTATTTTTTTCAAATCTCTTGAAAGTCTAGCTAAGTAGAAGATACCTGTATTCTCACTTTTGCTTGTTGTTCTAAGTCATCATCATAATTCTTTTTTTTTTTTTTGCTTTTTTTTGGTGAAGCAATCGGGGTTAAGTGACTTGCCCAGGGTTATACGGCTAGTAAGTGTCAAGTGTCTGAGGTCGGATTTGAACTCAGGTCCTCCTGACTCCAAGGCTGGAGGTCTATCCACTGCGCCATCTAGCTGTGCCCATCCTCGTAATTCTCATTGTAATATCTTGTTTTGGTGCAAATATGTGAATAAAATTAAACCTCATTCAGATTTATAGTTGGAAAAGGAAGGAATATTTTAGTAGCAAATAAGGTCTTAGTATTATTTTGAAATATAAATAAATATATTCATAGAAGCATAACTATATAAATGAAGCAGCTAGGTGTAGTAGTGGATAGAGCTCTGGGCCTGGAGTCAGGAAGACTCAGCTCCCTAAGTTCAGACCTGGCCTCAGAAATTTACTAGCTATATGACCCTGGGCAAGTCTCTTTACCCTGTTTACTTCAGTTTCCTTATCTGTAAAATGAGTTAGAGAAGGAAATGACAAACCACTCCAGTGTATTTGCCAAGAAAACCCCAAATAAGATCTTGAGGAGTAGGACACAACTAAAAACAACTGAACAAAAAATTATTTTGAAAACAGTTTTGCCTGCAAGGACCCCCTTGAAAGAGTCTTGGGGGCCCTGAAGAGTCCATGACCAACACTTTGAGAACGACTGCTTTGCTGGATCATACGTCCATTCCATGGCTCCATTCTGTGTTGTTCCCCTGCTTGATAGCCTGCTGTGGCTCTCTGTTACCTCTTGGATCAAATATAAACTTTTTTTTTGTTATTTAAAGACTTTTATAACCTGGTCTCAACTTATCTTTTCAAGTTTATTACGTATTATTTCCATTCAGTACTTTACGGTTCTGTCACACTTGCCCTTGTGATGGTACTCGCATTGGACTTTCCACCTATTACGTGGGTAGTCCTTTATGCCTGAAATGGACTCCTTCATTTCTACCTCTCAGAATCCTTAGTTTCTTTCCAAGCTCAGTAAAAGTACCATATCTTCCCTAAGGCCTGTCTTGTCCTCCCAAGATGCTAGTACCCTCTCCAGCATTTATTCGCATACATTTTATATATATTTGTGTGTGCATAGTTGATTTTCAGTTAGTACTTCTCAGTCATTAATGTGGGTAGTCCCTACAGTGCTATAGCTGAGAAGCCATTCACATCTTTTTATTTTGTATGACTCTTGCTTATGTTTCCCATAGTTTTTAACTGCTAGTTTCTGGTTCTTTCTCTCCCTTGAATACAAAATATCTTGTATTTGATGATGTTTTGTGTGTATTGTATAGATGCAAATCATATTTCATATATATATAAATATAAAGTATGCACACATATGTACACACACATATCTATACATATGTATATACATACACACACATACACACATATATATATACACATACAACATATGTGTGTGTGTATGCCCATGTTGTCTCCTATATAATATAAACTCATAGTGTGTGGGATCTATTTCAGTCTTTGTCTTAATGCCTCCAGTGCCCAATAAATTGCCTCACCCATAGAAGGCACTTGATAAATACTTGTTGAATTTTTGAATGATAGATAAGTGCATGAAAGAGAATATTTACCTATTTAAACTAAATATGTTTATGTTTCCTGCAGTCTAACTCCGATGAATTCTCGGACCACCTGACTTCAAAAAGTGGAATCCGACAGGAAAGTGATACCCGGACATACGTGTGGTCTACAGAAACTGGCCAAAAGGTTTTCCAAGGAAGAGGCCTTAAATTGAATCAAGCAGAAACAATGCAGCAGAGTGATCTTTTCAAAGCAGAATATGTCTTTATTGTGGACTCTGAAGAGGAAGAAGAAGCCATAAGCAGAAAGGAGGACAAACAGCCCCCTGTAGGGAATGGTCATAGGTTGGCAAGACCCAAGTCCCTAGCTATAGCCCCAGGGCCTGTCACTGCACTGCAAAAGCCACATCATGGTGACTTCCAAGTTCCAGGACAACCTGAGCTTCCTCGAGATGCAGCCAATCAACAAAAGCAAGTACAGGTAGGGCTTGCCTTCATCGCTTTAGTGCTAATCTGTGACTGGTCCTTCTTATAATATTATACAGGCTGGGCTCTGCATCTCAAAGGATTTCCAGGCCAAGATAATCAACAATGCCACAAAAGAGAGTAATATCATAGGCAGCATTCAGAAAATAAATAGTTCAGTTCAAAAGACTTATGACAAAATTATCTAGTCCAATCTTGTCATTGAGGCAGTTCAGGATGTATAGTGTATAGAATTCAGGATGAAAAAGTCCTAAGTTCAAATCTTGCTTCAGACACTTACTAGCTGTGTGACCCTGGGTAAGTTACTTCTTTCCTAGCTCATTTCCTCATGTATAAAATGAGGATGGCATAACACAGATGTTACAGGAGGGTTGTGAGGATAAAATATTGTAATATATGTAAAGCACTTTTTACAACCCCTTAAGCCCTAAACAAGCACAGGTGAGAAAACTGAGATTAAGAGACTTACTTGCCCAAAGTCATGCAGGTAGCAAAGGGCAGAGCTGGGAATTAAACCCAGGTCATCTGACATTCTTTCTACTACTTTGCCACTCATCCAGGTCAAAACTCTACATGAAGAGTAATAGATATTATCAATGAGTCACCCCCCTCCCCAATACATAGGAGCATCGCTTTAGAGCTGGAAGGAACAATAGAGATAATTAGATCCGATTCAGGTCCAGAGAGATTAACCTGCTTAGGACCATAAGGACAGAATTTGAGCTCATGTAGTCTAACTCCAAATCTAGTACTCTTTCTCAGGCACCATGTTGCTCCCCTGGTAGCCATTCTTTTTTTTTTTTTTAAATGAGGCAATTGGGGTTATGTGACTTGCCCAGTGTCGCACAGCTAGTAAGTGTCAAGTGTCTGGTCTGAGACTGGATTTGAACTCAGGTCCTCCTGACTCCAGGACTGGTGCTCTATCCACTGTGCCACCCAGCTGCCCCATAGCCATTCTTTTCATGACAAACATCTCAAATTGAACTAGACCGGTTCCCATTGTATGAGAAGTCCATCTTGTGGCCACTATTTCCAGTTTGGTAGGAGCTTCCAGAAACCCCATTGTGCTGGAATGTCCTTTAATGATCCTGCATCATGTCCTAACCATGATGAGACATCAGAGTAGAGATTCCATTGGTGATTCTATAATTATATCCTATTAAAAAGTCAACGTAACAAAAGTAAGATCAAATATTCACATAATGAACAGACTGATGATTGAATGTGTTTTATCAGGATGGCAAGTGGAGTCTACTGGGAAAAATGACAGGTATATAAGTATAGAATCAATATGTATAGATTGAATGGGAAATAAATTCAAATTAAATCCAATGTGGTTTGAGAGGGAGAACATTAGCAGTTGGGGGAAATCAGGGTAGGCTTTGTGGTGTTTGAGCTGCATCTTGTGTGTGTGTGTATTTAAGGATTACAGAAACTTAAAGACATACTTGAAGGAACCAACCAGTAGCTAGAATAAGGAGAGAGTGAATATTAGAAAGAGATAGAGGGAAAGATTACAAGAAGGATCACAGAATTTAGAGATTAAAGTGTTGTATCTCAGAGATCAATTAATCCATCACCCTAATTTAAATATGTAAAAACTGGAACTCAGCACATGAAAGTGCCTTGCTCAGCCCATACTAGGTAGTAAGTGAAAAAGCCAAGATTCCAACCTAGTTTCTCTGACTCAAAATCCATTGCCCTTTCCATTATACCATGATATATGTTTGGTGTAAGGAAAAATAGAATAACAAAATCATTCAAAAGGAAAGGGGCTGCCTCAGGATATAATGAGCTTTTTTCTTTGGAAGAAACAGATGGATTGTAACTTGCTAGTTAGGATGTAGAGGTGATTGTCCTTTAATTATGGATTGCAGTAACTAAGTGGTTTGGTGGGTAAGAGTGCTGGACTTAGAGAAAGAAAGAGAACTTGAATTTAAATCCTATCTGAGACTCTTAATATTTGTGTGGCCTTGGGCAAGTCACTTAATCTCTTAGCCTCAGTTTCCTCATCTGTGAAATGGAAATTACAATAGCACCTACCTCTCAGTGTTGTGAGGATCAAATGACAACATATGCACACCATTTTGCAAAGCTTAAAGTACTATATGCATGCTGGCTTTTAGCATTAGATCACTACTGGTGTCCTTTCCAACTCTGAGGTTTTATGGAATGATGGAAGTAGATGACAAGCAGATTTCCTGGATAGAAGGGCTATTTTGGAAATGGGACTTATAGTAGGAAAAAGTCATGGTGGGACACTGACAAAGATTTTGGTGGTTAGAAGAGAAGGGGCAGCTAGGTGGCACAGTGTATAGAGTGCTAGGCCTGAAGTCAGGAAGACTCGTCTTCCTGAGTTCAAATCTGGCCTCAGACACTTACTAGCTGTGTGACCCTGGGCAAGTCCCTTAACCTTGTTTGACTCAATTTCTCATCTGTAAAATGAGGTAGAGAAGGAAATGACAGGCCACTCTAGTATCTTTGCCAAGGAAACCCCAAAACAGGGTAAAAACACTTGGATATGACTGAATAATGACTGAACAACAACAACTAGAGGTTAGAAGAGAAGGGGGGGGCAAGTTAAGGATATGGACAGAACCTGGATATGGCAAATAGTGACAAATTAAGAAGGACTTTGAAGTTTTTACTTAGGAGGTAGGTATTAACAGAAGAATCACCATGGTGGGGAAGCTGGACCAGGAGAAGGTGATGGGAGAAACAACTGTTTTCTCCACAAGGTATTTGAATGTGTATTGATACATGCATTTTAAAGCGTGTTAGACAAGCATCATAGGCAAAGAATCCAAGTACAATACAAAAATTACCATTGGGACTATATAACGGTCTTTTATATCCCACCTTCTTTTCTGCAGTTGTCTTCTTTACCCTGAAATTGTAGTGGCATCATCTTGCTCTCTGGTCAGCTAACCTCATATGATTTCTTGAGTGTAAGTCATCATTAGAAATATGTAGCAACCTATTGGCACTCACCATTCATTTCTCCATTGTACTTTGGGTCAAAAACAACTTTGTTTCTTTGGAGATAGTGATGCTCCAAGGTTTTACATCTGTATAACATCATTGGGAGAACATTTATGTCAAAAAGATGGTTCCTAGCACCAGGAAGCAGCTTGTGTTCATCAAAAGCGTTGTATGGATTCTGCAGTGCAGTGCAGCTTGTGGTCTTCTTCCTAGTTAATTCTGGACCCAACTCATTGGCCATCTTGCCGTGTTCACTCCAACTATGTGTCTTCATGTACAAATTCCAGGTCTTTTTCGAATATTCATAGGTCAGTCTCACCCACGTAATGTTCTGGGGCTTGATGTACTCACACAATATCAGATGCAAACATGAGCATCTGGAAGACTTCACTATCAATGCGGAATCCTTCTTTTTGGACATTGCCCAAGATAGCCTTCACAACAGTGGGGAATACCTTTGCTAAGCATATATCTTCTTACTTTGTAACTCAGTTGTTAATAATCAAAGGGTCATTGAACAAAGATATATCTATGATCACTTTTATCAAGAAGACTTGTGTAATCTTAATATATGCATGAGAGTCTCACTGGTGGAGGCCTCTTGAACCTATAATTTACTATGAGTTCAATAATTAGCAATTTACAATCAATAAACAAAAACACAAAACTGTATCATTTTTGTATTTGTATCCTCAGAACCCAATATAATACCTGGCATATAGAAAGTGATATAGAATTACTTTTTAATTCAATTATACCATACTTTTCAGCCAATGGTGTGACTGTAAGGATGTAATCTTCAGTACAGCATCATTTGTGGAAACTTGACCTTTTCATAATTTCTTTTAAAAAAATTATTTTGGTTTTAGTTTATGGAATAAAACAAACCTTGCCATAGCACAACATAATAAAAAAAGATGATTGCATATGAAAACTTCAAAATCTATTATGTACCTATTCATAATTTAAATGAGCCTCAGTATAAATGTAGATTGGTAGATTGGTCTCATAGAAATTTTTTAGAGATATAAAAGGAGTCAGTAGCTATGGATGCTCCCTTTATATTTTTGGAACATCAACATTGTCTATGATTTTTTTTTAATTATTATTTTGCTATCTTCCCCTTCCTAGGATGCCTTGGAAGCAATTGTTCAATTCTTTTAAGGCTGTGTCACCACCAGCATGAATTTCCTCAATGTATGTGTGGTCCACTTCAGCAGCTCCTTTTACTGCATCTTCCTTACTGCCATTTCTACTTCCTCAGAAAGCATATCAGGGACTGAAGTGTTAAGGTTCTAATGCAGTAGTGCCTCTATCACTGATAATAAAAGTTGACTGGGAGAGAAATGTTGACAAAGTTGAACAAATTTTCCTTCTATTTGTCATTCGCCTGCCAGTTTGAAAAGAAAGCTTATTTGGGTCTTATGCTGTTTTCTATAGAATTATTTCGACTTTCAATGCTTTTCACTATTTTAAAAAGCAAAACTGCTCATGGCCATCCACTCTTCTGCCTTGCTAGCATTTTCCCCATGAGTTTATATTCCAAGCTGGTATTGTCCTTTGTGGTTACCTCTCATTGATTAGCAAGAAGATCAAGTGTTTTCTGATTAAGATGATATCTGGGCCTTTTTGGTCTCTCAATTGTAGCAACTTTCTTATATGAGTTAAAACTTTGCAAAAAAAGATAGTGACACAGAGTCAATATGTTGGTATTTTTCCATATACCATTTTATAGTATTAATTATTCATTTGAATAGGTCAGGTGAAATCTGGTCCTATCATTCACAGCAACTTATCTTAAATAGCATAATGGATGGAGGGCTAGGCCTGGAACCAGGAAGTCCTAAGGTAAAAAAATGGTCTCACTTACTAGCTGTGTGACCTTGTTTCAATTGCTCAACTTCTCTCTGCCTTGGTTTCTTCATCTGTCTCATGCGGCTAATATTATCATGACAATAAAAAGACGTAGCATTTGTGAAGTACTTTGCAAACCTTAAAGCACTGTATAAATGC